CTTTTTGTTAACCTCCGAAGAGGAAGCAAAACCTGCACACACTCTAAGTCATCACACATCAGGCCTTCTCCTCTCCCCCCTGCTTCCTCCCCTCACCTGACCTTTCTCCAATCTAAAGGTTTACACAGTGGTTTCAATTAACTGCTGGGAAAATGTTTCATCATCTCAGGGGCTGCCGCAGTCACTGGCTCTTTAATGAAACGCGTCTTTTCACACTTCTTAATTACTTTTGTTACAGCCACTCCTCTCTCTTTCTCTGCCTCTGTTCTGGGCGGCATGAATAATGTGCTACCAGTAACTTCTCTACTGATGTATGTGCCTGCAACAGGTCCCCTTTTTGGTGCAACTACACGGACGAAATAACTCACTGAATCAATTAGGGTGGATAAAGTGGCCACATAATCAACTAGAATGACAAATCACAACAACTGAGAAACTGGCAACACAAGTTTATTAGATGAAAAAACACATTGATTTTTTTGGGTCAGCAGAGTTTTTAATCAGTGCAGAAGAGCAGGCATTGATGTTTGGCTAATAATGAATATCCATTTGTTTGCTCTATCCACATGAGTCTGGGTTAATGCTTGTAAGCCTTCAACCTTCAGTCATGCTGATTTGGGACTTTTTGTAGCATCTGGGGTGTCAGACTGTCAAACCAACAATTCTTTATAACTTTTTTTTGTTTTTTCAGTTCCTTCTGAAACTAAAACTACTTGGTTAGGGTTAGGGAAAGATAAAAGACGGTTATGGTTAAAAGAAAACAACATTGGCTGTTGGTAGGAGATCTCACACGAACCGCAGTCTATGGTGCTGAAGTCAGTTATCGTCATGGTAACAAAAGACCAGTGTTGTATTTGGTAGGGGATGGGGTGTGAACCACAGTCTAGACGTGTTGCAGTGGTGTTACAATATAAAACTATTTTACCTTTTGTTTTGGAGAAAGGACATTCATTATTTATTCATCTTGCTTCAGTCTGCCTTAAAGCAACAGGTCTTGGAGAAATAGGCAGTTATTCACTTTTTTCGCAGAGAGTTAAATCACTACTTGTTTGGCAACTTCACAGTGAGGACAAGACTCCAATAAGTCACTGGAAATTAGAAATAGTCCAGCACAAGCCTCTGAAAAATCACAAATTGATGATTTACAATTGTTTTTTGTAGCTAACTGGGCTAGCTATTTCCATCTGCTTCCAGTCTTTATGCAAAGCTATTATAGACTCTCTATAGAGTTCATATTTACCGTACAGACATGAGAGTAGTATTGATCTTTTTATGTAACTCAAATAAGTGTATTTCCACAAATGTCATTCTATTTCTTTAAAGGACCAGTGTGTAGGATTTAGCACCATCTGTAAATAAAAATAATTTTAAGGTAACAAAAACATTCTTATTTTCAGGTGATTATACACTAATGAAAACAAATCTATGAGTATTATTACACACTGGGCCTTTGAGGAACTCCAAAAAAGTCTGTAAAAAATATCAGTGTCTGGATTTCAAAGGAAAGTTTTAGTGCTTCATCATGATTAAATTTAATCTTCTTTAAAATAAGAATGGGAAAGATTTAAATATAGCAATGAATCAAATTACTACATTTAATGTGAAAGGAGTCACTTGTAGTGATAAACATTCAGAGAATTATCCCTCAACTGTAGCATATTGTTTTGGTTTTATGGCACTCAACTAATCAGCCTCAAATCACACTCACAGGTAGCTGTTCGCCATCTGCTTAGCACCAAACATCAGACAGACAAAGTTAGCGAGTAGCTGGCAAAGTACAGGTGTGAATGTACCCAAGACACATTCAATACACATTGAGATTCAATCGTTCAGACCACATTGGACTCATATGGCCAAATTCTTTTAATAATCTGCTGAAGGACCGCCTACTCAATTGATGTCACGCCACAGGGGACAACAGGGTATCATGGGCTTTGTCCATGATATCTGAAATGTTTGAAAACCGATATATCACGAGTGCATCAAACATCTTGGGCGATTTGATTTGCCTGGAACACCAATTTTTTACCACGGAGCAAGGTCTTACAAACTTCTTCAGCAGACTAGGTACAGGAAGTAACAACAACGCATTTGGTCTTTGTAAATGGAAATGATGAGCAGGAAAGTGAGATCTGATTACAAGTGGTCACTTGAGACACATGAGGAGACATACTTGTGATCGGATCACCCAAGAAGCATTTTAATGCCAGGTGTAGACAGACATGCCATGGAGAAACATTTAGCTGCTAAAGAGAGAGATATTTCTCTCAGGAGGTGTTGGACAATTAAAAAGAGAGTAAATATTGGACTTACATTCATCAGGTGGACAGAAACATGACTCCAAATGAATGCTAACATTGCTCTGAGTCGGCTGGGTGTGTAAATAAGCAAATGTTGACTGTTTGTTCTCTATAACACCTTCATAAAGTGATAATTTGTCAATGATGTGTGTTTACAGATTGTTCCTTCATCCTCATGCGGCAAAAAAATCTATTAACAAAGTTTAAAGATATTCAAGACTCTCTCCAATTAAAAAAAGACTACTGTCTTCAACCTTCAAAAAATTATCCATCAAGCTTGGTTCTCTTGTCTTCTTCTCTATCTCTATCTAACACATACACATCCACACAAAAACAAAAAGATTAATCATTTCCCAATGCCAGGTCCTGCCTAGTCCCAGCGTTGACCTCTCTCTGTCTGACATCAGATCAGCACCAGGATACACATGTAATCTCCCCTATCTCCTTTAGCCATCGCCACAGAATGAGAGCTGCTCTCTCTATCACTCTCTGTAAACTCTCCACAGATGACCAGGGGATGTGATGGTGGCTGAACCCACACAAACATACATTTTCATAGACAAACAAACAAGGCACCCATATTACTTGAATGGTCTTGCAGTCACCGGCACTTTCACCTCCCATGTTTCCCGAAGACGAAAAAGTGATAAATGTGCTGTAAAAGTCAATGTGGGTTTTGCTCGAGTGATTAAGCTTATTATCCATGCACCTCACTGTTGTTATTCGCCTGTGTGTTGAGCTAATAAACGTCAACTATGATTTGTCTGTCTGCGAGCAAGAAAATGTCGAGCGCTCTCTCCAACGTGAAGCCCCACACACATTTCAACTGTGCATGACATTTAGGCCTATAACCATAATTGCTTTCTTCGGATTCAAAACTCCGAAGGGTGTTGTTAGCGCATTGTGTAACGTAATCGCATCCACAATTGTAACCACTATAGATCCACAGTTGCAGTATGCCAGCTTGGCTTTTACCCATGAAAACCCAATGAGTGGAAAATATTAATTATCATCCTTGGAGCTCATCTGCTTCCCTTTACTTTAGGAGTGATGAAAAAAAGGCAAAATCGGCTTAACTTGGAAAAGCACAGCAATTAATTGTGATCTAGTTTAATGAGAGCCCACTTTGCCGTGTTAATGTGGCTAATTAATAATCAAACAGGAAGTGGTATTGACTTTGAGTGCCTGCCACTAGACGTTGACGAAGGTGCTGATGTGTAAATAGCACATAAGGTTGTGTAACAAGTGCAGCCAAATTCCATAGACACCACTAGACAGATGGACAGCCACACACGCACCTTTCCACAGAGGAAGGTATTATACAGACTCACACACAAGCAAGTACACATTCTATTAGCGTCCGGATGCACTGATGTGCGTGTTGCATACTAATTTGCTTTTATGACTGTTACAACTGCCTGTCAGTGCCAAAAAGCAAAGAGGGAATGAGTGCACAGACACACAGTTAGTCACACACGATTGCTAGAACCAGTTGCAGAGTCCGGGGACAGAGCTGTACACCTCAAACCTCCACGTGGTGAGTTTGCCATTTATCTCTACCAATGGGGTGCACAAACTGAGAGAGGAGAGGAGACAGTTACTGTTCTCTGAATATAGTCAATAAAAGCACACTCCCTTGAACTTCATGACCCAACAGCAGTGCATTCAACATTTTAAATAGCAGCCAGAACAACTCTTTTTACCCAGCTTTGTGTGTGGCTGACATACAGTTTCAGTAATGTTAAGGTCGGTCCAATGCTGTAGATGCTGCACTATGGCTTGTACGCTCACTTAGAGTTGGGCAATATGATGACACCACTAGAGAGATGGACAGCCACCAAGCTGGATTTTCTATCCTGTCCATACCAAGGTAGCTATGCCTAATAAACAAGCCTTATTTACAGCAGTATTGGATTTGTAGGAATTTGAAATGTTATGAAGTACCTTGATTTGAAGGGATTTAAATCACTTGATTGACTGCAACTAACGATTAGATTCATTACAGGATACCTTGACATTGTGGGAATACTCTTATTAGATTAGATTCTCTCCAGTCTAGGTTCACTTCTGGCATTACCTTCATATTTACCCAACATTTTCTTGATCAATAAATTATTTGATTAATCATTTGATTTGTAAAATGTCAGACAGCTGTGAAACATTTTCTGAAGCTCACATCTTCAAATTGATCTATATTCAATTAACATCCAGAACTAGAAAATTATTGGCATTTCTTCTTGAACAATTACGCAATGATAAACTGATTATCAAAATAGGAGCTGATTTTCTTTCCACTGACTAATTCATCAACTATATGTTCTTGGGCTCAGTAGTCAACCAGTGATTTGTTGCAGGAATACAAAATCATCAACAAAAAAGACGGCTTACAGAGGCGATGTTCTCACAAGCTGCCAACAATCAACAGCCACAGTGAAGCCACAAAACCATCAAACTTTCTTTCGCCGTCAAAGACCTCCCACGCTTTTGTTGACCAACACACCTGACCTCCCTCCAACCAAACATATCACACTCATGTCTTCACCAGCTGTCCAACATCTGACTCATTTCCTCTCTGTCTTCTCCTGCAGCATGACATCTAAATGAGGCGAGTTATTCCCAAACTCGCTTTCCTCTGGAATATTCTCGCTCAGGAATCAAGGTGTTAACAGAGGGATGTCTTGCTTGACAGACGACGCCTACCTTTTGACGGCTCTGCGCGCTTGGGCAGATCCAATGTGTCGTAGTTTTTGTCGTTCTCACCGTTTTTTCTGCCTGGGTAGAGGAGAGAGGAGGGAGGACGATGTTAGTGTCATATCCTAAAACAACTGGATTATAAAATACAATGTCGTTGACACCAAGCTTAGACCGGTATGGGTAAGCAAGGCTGCAAGTAGCTTATATTCAGCGTCTTTAAACTTTTCATCATAGCTGCATTATTTTCATGGTAAAACAGCCTCTTTGTCTCTGAACTGACATATCGGTCTAATCCAGGTGTACACACCCATGGAAATGTATGAATGTTTGCATGTATGCACAGTACAGAGAGCTATAGGCATGAGGTGTTCAACACACATACATTCCACACTGTATGCTATAGACCACTAGTGTGTTCACAAAGATGAATTGGGGTATATACTAGAAACTGTATGAATGTGTGGTCTTGCATTCATGTGACAGCATACACCTTCTTTCCACACATACAAACACTCTCCCACTGTAACAACAATACTTCCTGAGAAGACAAACCCCTTGAATAATGCAGTGGAGGAGCGGAGATGCAGTGGGAGGAGTGTGGGTGATTGTGGCTCAGCCAGCTAATGGTCATCGCACATGCACATGGACATGCCCATGAGACAGTACAGAGATACAGAGACAAAAAAGCTGATTCCTCTGAATTTATATTTTTATTCCTGTCCCTCAGGAAACAAGCTCATACATTTAAGTTGCCTGAATCAAGGTCAGATGATATTGGGAAACAAGATATCATCTAGTTAGTGCTGCCCTTCTCTAATATAATATATATGAATTCATATATAAATGATAAACATTATGCTAATTATGGTAAGCTCATTTTGAATTATTAGTTATTATTATAAATTATTATGTGCATCAGTAGAACATTTACTTTCTGATATTAGGATACTTTGACCTGAGAGGGCAGCTTCACTATTCCATTGTCACAAGGTGCTTTCAGACAGCAAGCTATTAACAACACTTTGATTTTTTTCAAATGTAACAGCGATGGAAGTTAGCTAGTAACCATGGCGGTGGAATGCACCCTGCCACCCATGCTGTCTGAAAGCACCTCAAAGTAATGGGCCGATATTATGGGAAATACACTTACTGACTTTCTTGCCAAGAGTCAGATGATGAGAGCAACATCAGTCTTGTGTTGTTGTACGCTAAATATAAAGCTACAGACAGAAGGTGATACAGTAAGCATTGTTTTGTATTGTGATAACAAAATCTGCCTTCCAGCACCTGACTAATAACAGGTTTTACCTAACTAATTCACACGTTTGTTTAATTCGGATAAAACCCACAATGTTTTTATCTGGAAAGAGTCAGGCTAGCTATTTCCACCAATTTCAATCTTCATAAAAGCTAAGTGACCTCTGGATCTAGCTTCATAATTAATACACTGACATGACAGTGGTCTAACTCTCTGTAAGAAAGTAAATAGGAGTATTTCCCAAAATGTCAAACTATTCCTTTAGGGCTTATCCAACTAGTAAAGAACTATGTCTTGGTTATAATAATGACAACCTCTACATTTTAGCTGGGAAGCAAATCGTGGCACATAATCTTGGATATTGGCGGCTTCGATACAAATCAATTATCTATATGATTCAAAGCCTGCATACACACACAGAAACAAACACACAGTTACAGGGTCTGCAGCAGAGCTTGACATTTATGTTTAAACTCAACACAGAGGGTGAGCAGTTTTTCTTAGCTGTGGGAATTAGTTTTATCTGGAGTCTAAAGGGCAGTACACCTCATCATAGACTGACACAAAAACACTTTTTGGTGAAAGATTTTAGGTTTTGATTTTCTTTGACTCATTATATTAGTCAAGCTCTACTTTACATCCTGACAGACACTGATGGACTTACCTTTTTCACCAAGTGCTGCATTTACCTTTCGCCTACCTTAGAGGACCAAGCAACAACTAATTCTAACAAAATGTGAAGGTTGGGACGGGTGGAGTCTACAATATTCAGTAGGCAGGTCGGTATGGGGAAGGAATGCATGTGGAATGAGTGAAACACCCTAATTTTCTGAAGTCCTTGTAACTTACTCAGGTTTTTGGAGGACACCCAAAACTACTTCTAACTACATTCTACAGCCGGGGGGAAGGAGTATGAGGAGGAGGAGAGGGGGAGGATGGAGAGGAGGGGGAGATCTGAAGTGAGAAGGGTTGAAGGGGGGACACTCACCTTGATTAAACCATTCCTCTATAGTTAGCCAAGGAAGCAGCAGCATTGCCAAAAAACACAAAGCAGGGAGAAGAGAGAAGAGGCATGGTGAAAAAGACGTGTGCACGTGTCAAGAAGCTGTGCAATAGATGTGAACAGTTTCTCACAAAAACAAGTAATCTTTTACTGGACTGGGAAGGTGAAAGAGTGAAGGGGATGGAGAAAAAGGGCCAGAATAGAGAAAGAAGGAGAGAGCAAAGGGAGAAAGGAGAAAGAGGACTTTTAAGATTGAAAAGAGGCTAGATGTGGAGCCATTAGCAGTCCATAGGTGTTCTCTGGGAAGCATGTTCAAAGAGTCGGCATCAGTGGGATGGCTTTTTAGAGAGAAAGGGAAAGGCAGAAAGAAACAGTCAAATAGCCAGAAAAGAGTGAAAGATGCAATGATAAGCTAGCAAGCGAGAAAGAAAGGCAAGAATGAAAAAGACTGAGAAAGAAAGGAATCTGCTTCCACTGTCAGATAGAAGGGCAGAATAGACAGTCACAGTGAAACATATACATAAAAACTGCTCAAACTGCCAGCGTTTGTATAAGTGCTTCATTAAAATCACTGCGTAGGAAGAACAGAAATGTGCTCCAAGAGATGGAAAAAACAGCCAAGAGTCAGACTGTTTATTAGGTAAAACAAAGCACAAGCTGCTAAGTGTGTGTTGATCACAATAGTATATTTCATACTGAATGTGACATTAAACTGAAGAGGAGGCCAAACTTAGCCTACTTAAGGTAACAAATTACCAAGCATATTGACAACGGTGCTGCTTAACTACCCACCTCCATGCTCCTTTATAGTGCATTTAATGTTTCTGTACCTGAGCCCCGTTTTGTCAAAGAACACCTTCAGGGTCTGCAGCGGCTAAACACACCTCATTATTCAATGTGTGTGTGAAAGTGTTCATGTGGTTAATTGGTATCTTTATAAATCTGTATACTTGTAACCTACTGTGTTGTCCTGACCCCTGAACCAAAAGGATTCTCCAAAGAGTCGTTAGAGGTCGAGGGTTACTGGCTGGTAGTGACGCCTCATTGGCTGACTGATTAATGGCAGCCATTATTGTTGTACAGCAGGGAGATAACAGCGTCGTTTAGCTAACAGCCTGGGAGAATGCTGATTAAGACGCCACTAACAACACATGCGTACATGGCGCATCTGTTAAAGACAGCCAATAATGTCAAGAAGCTCCTGATGTGGCAGACGGTGCCATAATAGACGTCCATTACAGAAGTGGTTGAACATAAATGTCTCATCATAGTCTTGCATTGAACGTGAGGTTACTGTGACAGTGCTAAATTCAAACTGATGCTGCGGATTTGTTGTTTACCTGATTTGGTTTAAGTGTCCTTGTATGTGATGTGTTTACTCGCTGCATTTTTAAGAATATTTTAAATCCTACATACAAACCATAAGGACAGTAATGTTGAATGTACAATATAAAAATGTGTTTTCTGGCTCAATCACCAAACGAGCAAACAGATAAACTAATGTATGTCGAATTTATATGCTATTTTTAGGAGAATGTCAAGAAAAGAGAATTGCATTTGAGAAAATATATAGTCTATATGCGCATTAGATGTGACAGATTACGTCACATTTTCTATGTTGCCATTGTCAAAGAGGATTTGTATGAGCCCAGCGCTCATATAAAAGCAACAATTAACTGAAATATAACAAAGAACAGGAGAACAACAAAGAAAATAATGGTATCTCAGCAATCCAGCTGTTGGAACAACTGCTCTGTTCTCTGTCAATTATTTTTTACATCCTACAGATTTAATGAAAAAAAATTAAAAGGCAAAAGGTCAAAGCAATAATTAGGACTATGAAAACACTACATGCAGCTCCTACCGCTGAGTTAAAAGAGACTTATAATACATTTCCTGTTTTTTTTTTTACAATTACATTTTCTACTCTTACTCAATTTTGCAGTAGTAGATGTTTTACTGAAGAGGCAGAAATCTAATTTTGGAATACCTCAAATGTACTATTCTGATTATTGGTTATTATTGGTGATTATTATTTTATCTATCTCACTCTTTCCTCCTTCTCACCTTTGGCCTTCTTGCCTCCAAAGCAGCCAGCATCATCCTTCTTCTTCCTCTGTGGTCCTGCTGAGCCAGGGGCCTGTAGCACTGATGGGTCCTGGAACTTTTCGGCCCCCGGCACCTCTTTGTGGACGTGGTAGGACAGGTTCCTCATAATACAAACACAGTTCTCCACAGACTAGGAGAAAAGAGAGACAGAGAAGTCTCTGAATCATCTACAAGTGTGTCTGTGTGGTACTTCAACATGATCTCAGTAACGATTAAACAAAAAGCTGAGGACAGAGGCCATATGCTGTACCATCTGAAATAACTAATGTGTGTTTTAGTAGGCGAGTCAAGCATTGTCCTACCTTGTTGTCCATGTCTTTCTTCCCTACAGCTGATTGGAGAGCGTGCAGCAAGGCGTCCACCAATCCCTCGCATTCCCTCAGTCTGCGCCGAGCCTCTGCACCGTCTGAGCTCACATTTCTGTTGGAAAGAAGTCAGTAGGCATAAGAGAGTCATCAACCTGTGATAAATACAATGGTGGCAGCACATACACCTGCTCTGAACTTGCCAAACCTGCGGAAATAGGATTTGCAACACAGCTCTACGATATAAAAGCAAACAAAACATTAAAAACTTGTGCCATACAATATTGGAGTTGGGTTTCTTTCAGTATCAGTATTCAACATATTTTCATCTCAGGTCCCCAAAGGAAGAAGTTTACATAACAATAACTGACAGATGTATGGCAGTGAAAAAGCTCAGCAAACCAAAAACCCACCCATGTCATTTTCTGGTTTGCACGTGACCCATGGCCTTTATCCTCCCTGTCTGCCTCAAGAGTACAATGTAATAAAGCCCCACTGCTTTGGGAATAATCTTAAGAAAATGATGAATATAAATTTCATTTTTGCTACAAAGGGAAATGCCATCCAAGTTACGTCAGCTAGCGCCCTGAGCACAGCTCCCCTAAGCACAGCAGCAGAGCTGGTGCAGTCTTAGTGCGGCTGTCTGACTGACTGTGAAAGGCGAGGCTTTAAAGAGGGTTAAGGGATAGCTGGGGCTCCCCACTCTTCACCAGGGACTTCATTTATGAGGGCTTCCAACCAACATAATCCCATTAGCCGACCCCCAGTTAGTCCTGTGGAAGAGTGGCAGCCGTGCGGAGGTAAGCAGAGCTGCAGTGCTTTACTGTGCTGTGTGGACTGAAACACATATCCCATCCAGCACTGCTACACATGTGGATGTTTTGCTTTAACAAAAAAGGACACAACTGCAAAGTCATATTGTGCCGTATTTGAATAGTCCTTCTTCACTTAATATTCATTTACGAGTCAAAATGGATGTATACTCCCAACTTGTGACCTACACAATGAGTAGATCTCCATACACACACACACACACACACACACACACACACACACACACACACACACACACACACACCCACCCACATCGCCTGCCTTACAGCTGATGATCTTCTTGGTCAGTGTATGAGTATATCTGCCATTTGTCTATGCCCCACAGAACCATTTGTGCTAATTAAAACTAAACTTTGGTAAGGACCAGGCAGACAGCAACGGCCATCTGGACCCGCTCATAAACCAAACCCATCCGTCTTCAGCTGTCAGAAAAACGGTCACCACCTCCCCTGTAAACAGATCCAGAGGAGCGCCCGTCAGACAGACAGAAGAGTTTTATTGTCAGCTGTTTCATTTCCAAGAGTCTTTCAGGGAGCAGTTGTCTTGGTGGAAGGTTTATGGACGGTACATCTGTCAGAGGAGACAGAGCGGAAAGGTGCTGCTGTCACTGGACAGTTCTATAGGTACTGGTGACTATTGATTATCTGGGAGTTTACCGTCTGTTACTGTGTTACTGCACTTTCTCTCCATGTAAGTAACCTTCTAATGCAATCAGATATCAAGAAATCAAGCTAATGACATTTCCATCAACTTCATCTGTAGGTTACGTTGTGTTGCCACTTAGCAAATGTGAGCATGCTACACTATGATTGTGACCATTCAAGTATACCTGGTAAACATAAGCATGTTAGCATTGTCATTGTGAGCATGTCAGCGTTTAGCTCGTCAATACTCGTATAATGTTTGTTGCTTATTTCTGCTGTTTCGAAAGTGTAATACAAAAATGTTATGTAGTGACAGGTTACTAAACATTTACTGTAGGGGCACCCGGACAGCTCACCTGGTAGAGCTGGTACCCCATGTATCAAGGCTTGCTGAGTCCTTGCTGGAAGGGCCATCGGTTCGACTCTGACCTGTGGCCCTTTGCTGCATGTCATTCTCCCTCTCTCTCCCCCCTTTCCTGTCAATCCCCAGCTGTCGATATCGATTAAAGGCAATAAAAATAAAAATAAACATATTTCATCTGTATTATATATTTTATGTACTGGAAAAAATGGAAATGAGCTAATTTTGCAGCACCCTTGGTCCTCCCTGGCAACCACTGGCTAAATCTCATAATCCACAAATTCACAGTAGTTTAGATGAGGTAGTATATAGGATATGCATGTGTTTGAAACATGCAGAAGAAATTTCTGTCATTTATCTAATGTGCTTATTCAGACTAATACTAGCAATACTGGTATCATCCAATGGCCCCAACATTTCTAGAGCCATTTTAGAAATGCCTAGTCCAGGGAAAACCTTTTTCTTTCCTCATTAAACAGTAGATAGTTTGCTTTCCCATGACATCATTGACAAGATTATGTTTCCTCTCATATTCTGATGGTCAAAGAATACATTTACAAAATACCAAAAGAGAGAAACAAGGACATTCTCTTTTCTGTGGCAACCAAGTGCAGTAATTGAAGAAACAAAGTTTCATTGAAAAGCACAAGGTCTTTACTCCTCTGTAAATACCTATCTCTGCAACATTGTTGGCTTTCAATGTGCTGTTCTCTTGTCATTCTCTCGTATTATGCCTTTTTCTGGTCTCATTATGTCTGGACTAGTGACTGCTGTGAGGAATGTTTTATTATTAGATGCTAAAAGAATAAGAAGGTGCACTGACAGCCTGTCACTGTGATCTTGATGTGTCTTTAGTGTGTCTGCTCTATCAGATGAAGTGTGGGTGTGAAGGTCACTCAGAGTCATGTGGCCATCAGAGGACAATAGAGCAGCTGGGACGAATAGACTGGAGCAGGACTGATGGAGACTGATGGAGATGGATGAAGACGTGGCTGACCTCTGCGATTGCCCTGCAAGGTCAATGGCAACACTGCAAGACCATATGTGTACCCTGGGGTTGGGTATCCCTTAGGTTTTATCAATTCTGATTGGATTTCTGCTTCGGTTTATGGATTCTCTAATTTAATCCCTGTTCACATTCTTATTATATTATCTGAGTGAGAAAATAAACTACAATATGTTAAATTCATCTTTAATATCAGCAGACTTTAGCTAATGTCCGAATTTCAGTCAAGTTCATGTTGGCCTTTTACTGTTTGGGAGGTGGGGTTATTTTGCCCTATAACCAGTAATCAGTATTAGTAGTGAGTATTACTGAGTCACTGTCATTTTCAGTTGACACAGAAGCTGCAGCAGTTGCTGGGACAGATTGTGATGTTGATGAAAGAAATATGTCGGGTTGAAATTTCTATAAATGAACTTGAGAACCTGTACAGCTGCTTTAATCTCATACATATTTGTTGCAATAATGAATAAGTGGAGTGTTTATGGTTGGACACTTTACTCCTAACAGTATGTGAGTCTGGGGTGTTACAACCATTACTGGGGACATGAAAAATCCTGCATTCTTAAACCCAGCTGAAGGAAATGCTTTGCAGTGTTTGACAGCCTTTTTTCTGCACAGTGACTCAATGTCCCTAAATCATTCTTGTCTTTTGTTCAAATCAGCCACACTAGTAAACTCTACCTCCAGTCTGACATGTGTAAGCACTGGTGCCGACAGCTTATTGTAGAACTGGAAAGCACTTATATTCTCATTCTTGTACAGGGACCAGTTCTAATTCAGAACCAGCTCTTGATGCCCAACCCTAGTATACATCCTCAACAAACCACCAAAGACAACACACATATACACATACACAGTTTCTCCTTCCCTGAGCCCACAGTGTAAACACTGTAAATAAGCTGGCCCTATCGACAGAGGAGGCCATTATAATAAAACCATCCTCGACTTTATTGAGGTGTAAGCTGTGTCTCTGTTGGTGTGAGTAAACAGATTCTCCCTGGCATCAGCACTTCTCCCCAGCGCACAAACCCTGCGTCTAGGCAACTGTGGGCTTGGTGACCGTTGCCATAGAGACCCATTCTCGTCAGCAGCGCCTGCATCAAGGGTCGAGGGAGTGAGAGCGACTGGGAGATATTGTGATCTATGAGATACGTGGCATCGGGGATGACAAGGTTTGGATATAATGTTTGGGAAGACAGTGAAAAACACAAACACACTATACACGGACACAAAAAAAAAGAGAGTGTGACAGATAATGAAAGAAATCATGCAAAACACAATGAGAGGCAGCGAGAGCAGGATTCCTACTGTGGCCCTGATGTAAAATTCCATGACTTCTGTATGACTTTCCTCCATCAGAGCGCTTTCATTTATTCCCTCTTGGTTCGTTAATGCTGCTCTTCAACTCAGCAGAAAATGTCCTAAAATCATGAGTAAGTTTCCACACTTCCTACAGCCCGAGAAAACTAGCTGGAAACTATCTAATGCAAAGCACTAATGTGTGAAATACATTCTGGTACTTTCTGTCTGAGCTGGATTTGGATGTTATATTGTCCTGGATGTCAACCAGCATGCCGCGGCATCTACTCCAGGAGACGTTCTGCCCGGCATTACAGTCTAGACGAGCTTGGCCGAGAGGAGACAGCACAGCCGGGTGTGATAAACCACGTACACACTCTCTGTCTTTCACAATTTACTACAGTCTGTCATTCTGAGTTGAAGCCAAAATGACAGATTCAGGAGGGAAGGTAGGAGAGAGGAGATACTTGGAGAGGGGAAACTACTTGGAAGTTAATAACAGGAATTCAAGACTCGAATTGCCATCCTTGGTTGATGAAAGGATTTAAAAGCAAGGCAGAGAGGATGTTTGACTGATGTTTTACAGTTTTTGAGGCATACTTGATTTTTCCCTGACACAGAAATTGCATTCAATTTGAATATTAGGTATTCAGCTGATGCTTGTTTGCACTAAATGTGCAGAGTGCATCATTTTCAAAAAGGAAAGCTTTTAGGTAACTGATGCAGAGCTGCAATAAAATGATCGTTTTCATTATTGATTAACCTGCCAATTGTTTTCTGGATAAAAGAATTCGCCATTTAGTCAATAAAATGTCAGAAAACACTGAAAAGTGCCCATTACAATTTCCTAAAACCCAAGCTGACATCTTTAAATTGCTTGTTTTGCTGACCGCTGACAGTCTAAAATCCGAAAATATTCAGTTTACTGTTATGTATAACATCAAAAACCCTTAGAAATTGATGTACTGATTGTAGATCTATCAAAGACTTTAACAGAGCAGCAACTTGAAAAGGCTATAATGTTTCCCCCTTAAATATGTGTATGTATTAATTAATAACATAACTGTTTTGTGTTTTTGTATCCTTCTGCATGACAACTGAAATAAATATTTGTCAATGAGATGATGTTATTTGACTGTTTTAAAACAAAAAAATAAGTATTAAGATAAGTGCTGATTCTGATTCTCAAGCTCATCTGTGAGCACCCACAGTGAAATCATACTGTAAGGTGAATGCATCAGAAGAAAAGTAATGTAGTCCAGTAAGAGGTTCAAGCCAAACAATAGTCCTGTAGCTTTCTTTTATCTGGAGAGAGCAATGTGACTGGTCTGCAAAGTTCATCGAGGCCTTACCAGTTGTTATGTCCTCTTCCAAAGTATGTGTATGTAAGAGGTTTAAGTAAGGGTACACTCATGCTATTATCTCAGGCTAGAGCCCCCTAAGACTAAAGCAGACCTTCAGTTCTTAAAACAAATGTACCAGAAAGGGTCAGCAGAATGCCCTTGTGAGTCACACCACTTTAACAGTGAGGTCTGTCGATGTGGAAATGGAGAAGTTAACACCATTTTGAATGACTGACCTAAGAACAACTCAAGGTTTCGGTTGCCATCACTGAAAACAGTCACAGCAGAGTGGGACTCATTCCCATATATAAAGTTAAATGACGCACTCGTATAAAAGTTCATGTTTTTCCATCCCGATTAATACAAATGTTTGCATGATGTTTTTCTTACCAACAAAAATAAACCCTGATTTGCACTGTGGGCTCAATTTATCTTTCCTCAGTCTAAACAAAGACTAATTACATCTGGAGATTATTTAATTGTAACGTGTTTAGTTTGCACCTAATGCTGCTCATTGGCCCCAGGGTGGAGTGGTAACAAAGTTACCCAGTTCATATTAGAATGACAAGAGACAAACACAGAAACATTTACAAACTACAGTAGATGTTCTTAACACAGTGCACTGTGTGTCTGTGTATGTGTATGTGCTAGTAGTACTAACATTTAATAGTGTAATGTTTTCCTAAAGCCACAGATCAAAGTCTCCCAGCAATCCTCCTGCAGACAGACTTCCAACATACTTCACATACACATACATACGGGCCGGGACAGAAGAACACAGCATTTGCCATATCATAAATTCTTTTAGTACCCAAAGAACTTAAATCTGACCCTGGGTCAGCAAGAGTACATATGTAGTCTCATATACCTCACACCTGTCTCCCGCTACAACTGGTATCTTAGTAAAAACAAACTTTCAAGGCCCTGGGCGTGTTAAGTGTCCCCTCTATAAAATCCAGGATGATCTCTAAAATATGTCCTCTGAACTGACTTTAACCTGAATAAATCTGCCATCTGTCCCCACAGTTTTGTCAAATGTCTGGCTGTGTCCTTCCTCACTTAGCTTTCAGTATTTCATCCACTTAATAAAAGCAAGCCAATAATTTCTGTTACTAACCTTCCGTATCCAATATTTGGAAGTATGTGTTGAACTTTTCATTTAAATTGATTATCTTGCTTTGCTAATCAGGGGACATTCAGTGCAGGGCTGCAGCCAGTGATTACTTTAATTATCTCTCAATCTGCAGATCATTTTCTTCAACAGAATCTGCTGTAAACAGGCAATAGTGAAAAATGCCTATTTTAGAAAAGACACTAAAACAACCATTTAGTTCATGGGACGGGGTGAAATCAAATCCTTGTAAAATGATGTACTTGTATTCCTCAACTTCCCCCACCTGTGGTACATCTCTCAAAGATCCATATCTAAATTCAGAAACCATGTTTAATGAATCAACATCAGCTCGATTCATGTTCCCACTTTTAAGCTAACCCTACCTGAGGCAGCCGGAGGTGTTCTTGAAGACGGTGGTCCACTCAGCGTCGCGGGGCTTCGAGTCCTCGTTCGGCTCGTGCTCCCACCCCGAGTGAGGGATGATGACCTCGTTGGTCAGGGTCTGCAGGCCGTGGTTAATGATCACCATCTTCAGGGGTTCATAGGACGACAGATTCCACAGGGTTCCTGTAGAGAGCAGGAGAGGGAGGAGAATAAGAAAGAAATTAAAAGACATATTAAAAGGAGGGTGAAAGTGAGTGAAGGTGATGCAATATAACGACAGTATAGCAGCCAAACATCCTGCAGTGCAGACTTTAAGATTGCAATCAATACCACATTGTGACTGGCAGTAAACCACATCTGAAAAAAAATAATACAACAAAATTGGTTGTTCATTAGCCAGCCATGATATCATCTGGCCATATTTCACTGTATAAAATAATCACAGCGATAGCGTCATGATTCTCCCATGATGGCTTTGCTGACTACCACTATGCTGCAATCAATACTGAGTTTATAGAAGACAGTGATATGTCTATAGTATTTGCATAACATTGCTCTAGGAATAATGAGGTTACAGTAACCTTATGATACTTTATGTCATTTCCCAACTAGTGCAGTATCATTAATGGCATAATATCCCAAGTGGACTTTAATGCATCCATATTCCGTAGATACTGTGTAAGTACAGGATCAATTGAAATTAAGTACTTTAGCAGACAGCACACAGATTTATCACCTCCTGTTTTTTTCTCGTCCAAACAATCCAAGCATTATTTACCTTGCACCTCTCTGTAACAGGCAGCCTATGTTATACATCTGCAAAAGCTGTAAATTGAATTGAGCCGGGCATGTGCATCATGAGGGTTCACATAAGAGAGCAGCCAGACAAAGCAGAGAGGAGGGCATTTTTGGCAGTGTAGCCAGGCAGCCAGCCCCACAAAAATAAAATGCTGTGTTAAAGCATCAGATGGGTTTTCACTCAGACACATGGAAGCGCTGGGGCAAGGCAGACTCTGGTTTTTAGGAGAGAAAAAAATGTACACCCAAAAAAAAAAAAAAAAAGTGTTTTTATTAACCTGTCCCCCAGGACTCTCTGTCTCCTACAACGTATCACCCTCTTTCTTTTCTCCTTTTAAATTCAGGCATTTAGCGGACATTCTTATCTAGAGCAACTTACAACAACTTGTTCAAAGTAGGGGTGAAAATCTACACTACTGGTAAAAGTATGCCAAATTAGTTCTATGTTTGCAATGTGCTATTGATGTGTAGAGAGCTCTCACTATAGCAAGGACAGCTCTACCAGGTGAGCTATCCAGGTGCCCCAAGTTCTAAGGAGCGTCTTTTCTCCTGTGATTTCAAAGTGAATTGATGGAAGTTTATTTGTTTATCCTCAGAAAGTGCAAGTCCTACTGAATCTAAAAATATGTGTATTGGTTTGTATATATGATTCCCTCTTGCCCCACAAAAACAGACTATTAGCGGAGCAGTGAAACTGTCACACTTCCTCGCCCCGTTCTTTAAAATGGTTTCTGTACATTTTCCAGATGGTCAATATTTCCTCTGTTAAATCATGTTCTCCTCACACCGGGAAAAAAAAAGTATCCGCAGACAGGCCCGGGCTAAAAATAAATCCAGTCCTTCTGGTGTGGTTGTGCCTGGAGAAAACTGGTTTCCTTCGCCAAGACATTGAAAAAAATAAAAAATAAAAAATACTCATTAGACTTATCTACATACTGTGTTCTTGTGGTATTTTAAGTTTGAATGCGGTTCATGACCTCTGTCACTTCAGCCTCTCTTTGTCAAATCCCTGCATTAACTGCATTATCAAACCAAGAGGAAACACCGTGCCTCCGTTCCCTCTGTGGTTACACTTGGTGACTAGACTGGCTTCCTGTGCGTCAGAGACTACCAGGCTACCAGTATCTTACTGGGAAGCTATTAGATGTGAAAGCTGAGGTGTGGCTCTGCTCTAGGCCACTTTCACACACAAATCCCAAGTGTGATGCAGGATTGAACACACACTAAATCCTCAAGCCAACTTTATGTAATCCTGTGTGCTTAACAGATCATGTTTATGGGACTTTTATAGTGTTCCGTGCAGTGAGAAGATTTAACATTTTGGTCAGTGTGGATGATCTGATTCCTTATAGATTCCTATAGACCCAGGTCTTGTATGAACCATCAATAACATCACACCCTACCTCAAACTATCAACTTGAATCACAGAGCCTGTTGGGAACAGATTTTGTCCTGAGCGTAAACACTGCCTGGCAGACTAATTTCAGGGCAAAATGTCCCCAAAGCCCTAAACAACCATTGTTCAGGTAATTACATTGTGGAATGAAGCCTGGTTTAATTTTGTGCTTCACGTGTTTACTGTAAATTTCATAGCTCTACAAATTCAAAATCGATTTTTTTTTTTCAAGCACTTTCACGGTATGTTTAACTCAGACAAAAACAAGCTGAGATGTTATTTAGACATATGGATGTTCTTCCATCAGCATAATTGAAGTGCTGATTAAAGAAATTTCACCAGTATTGTTTACTTGCTTGTTTTCTGCCTTGATTCCGTATCGTTATCCACCCGGATCTACCCATGGTTCAACCCAGGTGTGTGTCATTTTCTGTGTGTAGATGTTGGATCAGTGGTCAGCATTGTTCACATTTTACTGTACTTCAGGCTATAGTTTATTCTACCTTCAAGTTCCTTTCCTGCTTCGACTTATTGCACATTTTTGTGCTTTTGGTTGAAAATAATAAAGTAGACCCTGAAACTATTACCTGAGACATCTGTTCCTACTGAATAGAAGCACCCACATTCACACCATAAGAGCTTCAATTCTTAATGTGTTAATATGTACTTCTACACTTTTATAAAACACTTCACAATGTGCTCTGACAATGGTTCAGTCAATGGTGTCTGACTAATTCATAAGCATTTCTGGTAGCAGTCAAAGACATCTTTAAACTGTTTTCTGAAAGTGTAGCACAGAATTAGTACGTGTTTAAACATATTTGCATGTATGCAGGGGTTAGAGAGCCCATGCTAAGTAATTAGTTTTGCTATTTTATTCTGTTGTTTGGTATTTTACATATTTTACATGCGGTGATTGCTCTTTTAAACTCTTAGTGGACTTTTAGCACTCACAAAGTATTGTTTTCGATGAAACATCCACTCCCTCCCTGGTGCATATTTCCACCACTCTCTTTCTACAGCGTCAATTTTGTCATTTATTTCAACCACATGCATGAGAGGATGCGAAGAAGTATCAGCATCCAGGCATGAATCACATTAACAACAAATGTGCTCCTGTGGTGCGTGTATGTCGGTATTTTGACGGCTAGCTAACATTCATCCATGCCTGCCTGCCAGGCCGACAGCTTGATTACCTCCACTGTTGTGTCATTAGCATCAGTTTTACTTGTGACAAGCAATATCCAGCATACAGACAACATATGAGGAGCAATGTGAGCTAAAGGAGGACAAGCGGTGAATAAAGAAAACTTGAAGTGAAGTGTGTGGGAAATATTAAATACGCTCTGCAATGTGCCATACATTTTCTGCCTAGGAGGAAGAAACAAACAGTACATTAATAATCCACAAAAGAAATCGTCCTCATAAATTTGTATGATATCAAGTTTAACATTCAAGCCTGATGTAAAAACCTTTTCTGTACACCCTGCCATGAGATTAATGGTGCGTGATGCCTCTAATTTACACTGTGCACATTAAGCGTTATTGTTTCCACATCATCATAAAACAGGTTCAACAGCTCGCATCCAACATGGTTGGAAATGTATTTCTGTATATAAAATGTAAAATATACCACCATCTATCTCTGACTTGTCTTGGCCAGCACCTAAGCAAAGAAAATAAGCGTTCACGTACACCTCAGTATTTTAAAGTAAAGAGAGACACCAGCACATTGATGCAAAAGTTCCCTCCATGCAAACTTTCTATGCGCACCCCTCCGGCTGTCCACCATCACCTCCAGTATTCCAGCTGAAACACTGCTCAGGCCCGTGGAATCAGTCAGCTCTACACTGATCACATATGCCAGAGGGGAGGAAAAGGCATGTCTGTGGCGTGGCTGTGATCCATCAAGTACGACAGGCATACAGCCCACAGACACAATGTTATTTAAGATGACAGAGTGCTGTGGAAGTGACGATCTCCATTCCGTGTCCTGCCACTGTTTCAGGCCAGTGACTCTATATCAGGTTTAGTCCATTTGCTGTCTTTTGTCAGCCTGTCAGAGGTGGGTGTGTAGGGGACGTCCTCCCGTCCTGTCTCCGAGGCAGATACCATGCAATTGTGGTGTCAATGGCTCCTTTTACACCTGGACTACCTATTGTACTATCTGGACTGTGATAGTTTGGATTTGTTAGATTTCATCATCTGATTTTACAGAGTTTCATCAACACATATACTCTGATTGATTGTAGCTTAGCTCATCTGTCCAAAAATGCATCCCTCAAAACAATAAAGCTCCACATCATCAGTGAAAGAGAGGTGTGATGCCGCTGGCAGCTGGTTGAAAACTGAAGAATGTCTATTGGATAAGAAAGGCCGTCTGGATCCTGTCCACACCTTTCTGACACAACAGATCCCAGTAACGCCTCATCTACTTAACATTTTGGGGGTCTGACTGCTGAAGGATACAAGCTTGGTGCAGGTGCTGAAGGTGTGGGCAGCCAGCTAAGCTCTACAAAAAGAGGAGAAATTCAACTTCCAGTTACTCTAAAGTTATTTACATGTTTTGTTTTCTTAGCTGGTTTGCTAACATTATCAACAGGTAAGCCCACAGTCAGCTTACAGTGCAGCTTCACTGTGTGGACGAGACCACCTCAGTCAGTCAGTAAATACCTTCAAACATAGGCCAGCTGCTCGCTAAACCACAATGTCTGGTGACATCAATGTGACATTCTGTTGATGATATGACATTGGCCGTACCTTGAGTGTTAACAACAACACTGCATGAAACTACTACATCAATAAGTCTTTTGACTTTGAAAAGATCAGGAACACTGTCCCATATTGAACTGTCCCTGGGTATTCATATTCTTTTACAACTTCAATATACTCCCCATTAGTAGCTACTTGTTGGTGAATCTGCCTGCTTGTTCCAACATCAATATCATTTCCTTGGTTTTGTTAGCGTTTAATTGAATAAAACAGGCCT